TAACATGAAGTTTTTTGTGGAGTGGGGTGGGGTGGGGTTCATAATTCATTCGTATTAAAAAGGATTGCTGACGTGGGGGTGATCGTTTTGGATTTGACAGGGACGACACCGGCGGTATGACGTACCCGGGTTTCAACGGTGGTGGGTCCGGCAGCGGCAGCGGCGTGGCTGTGGGATCGGGTTCTGCCGGTGGTGGTGATGCAGACATATTCGGGATGATCTTCGGGGGTGGGCGGAGCGGGAGCGGGAGCGGCGCGCCACCGCCACCATCCATATTGTTATTGTGTTATCTTTCTTCTTTGCTATTATTTCTGTATCTGATTTCCGCCACCACCTCATTATAAGGACAAAGTTATAGGGTAGTAGTAAATTATTAGTGGAAGGCCTTCAAAAAAAATTATTAGTGAAAGAAAAAAAATTACATATCCCCTCTCCTGTCTTGACTCTTGAGTGTTGAAGCTTTGATCAGTTAGTTTAGTTATCCATTTCATTCTCATCCGCAGTGGAGGGAGTTTTTGATGCGGGGTCCACATGGATCTGACGGACTTATGATCGTGCGGCCAAGCTGGCGCTGATTGTTTTTTCTTTGGATACCCTCCCCACTCTGCCAGCCAGTTTCATTCATGCGCTTTTCGCTTTCGAGACTACTAGTATGTGGTCGGAATCCCCTGTGTGACGATGGACAGCGTGTATTGTCCTCCTTTAGGATTAAAGCTCTTCGATCGGTACTTTTGAGTTTGTGTTTTGACCGATATGTTGGGAATGGGGGACCCACTATTATCAATGTTGGGTTTAACTTAACTTGTACTACTGTTTTATGGTAGAGTCCGTTCTGGAACGTGTGTGGGGGGCCCTACGATATACGTGGGCTGTTTTTTACCATTTTTTAGCCCCGACTTTTGTTCCAATTCGAATGATATAATGATAAAATCTGTGTCCTGTGATTGGCTTTCAGGCAGAGCAATGCCAATCATGAATCGTGTTGTTTAATAATTCATTACATATATTTTGTGTGAAGGAAAAAATAAAAAAAAATTTCATCTTTACCGTTGGTGGTGGGCTCAACCATGTAGTTTGGGTTTGAGGCCCAAGCCCAGAAGCCGCTCCAACTCCACTGATATTGCAACAGCTGGGGAGTGTGGGTGCTACTAAGATGTAAGATTGATGTTTTTTATTTATGCCAACTATGGTTTGTCTGTGCCAGCAGTTTTGCTCCGCCATTATTGACTTTTTGGTAGGAATTTTGATCTGTGCATCATGTGCCCATGCTCCCCCCACCCCCCACTTTGTCCTTTTCTTAATTCTGTATCTGGGGTCTCTTATCTTTAGGTACACCTTTTATTACTAGATCTGCTTTCTCACCACATAATCACTTCTTTATGATCGGTTCCGTTTCACCCCAAAATGGGTTGTCTGTTCAAACCAGACGGTTGGACTGTTTATTTAAACATTTGTTCTAGTAGAGAACTTGCTTAATTGTTTATACAGTAGTTGAAATTTCAAAATACCAATATCTCTTTAGATTTAATAAATAAAAGTTTGGAAAGACTCTAACAATAAAACTCTCTACATTAAACCTGATGGAGTGAAGTGGGGAGGAGTCCTAGACACCTTATCTCTGTAAAGAAGCTATTACAATAAATAGAAACTAGCAACCATGTACAAACATGTACCTTAAAGGGTAAAGCCATGATGGGTTGCTGGTTGATTCTCAAACCCAGGAAAAGAAAAAGAAAAAGAAAAAAAGAATGCTCAACCCTCAACCCTATTCATTATTTATGTATATTTTTTATTTAATTAAAATTATGATCGACATTTAGTCTAAAAAATGTTGCTAAGAAAGAGAGATCTGAACGTCAGAGAAAACGATCGCGATCGGGGTCATATGTATAGATATGTCATGAGTGTTTTATAACGTCAGCTTATAAAAATTTGTGTTGCGTATTTGGGCAATGGAATCTATCATTACAGCTTGTACTTCAAACCGTTTCCAATTTCTTCATATAACTCTTCAATGGAAAACTGCAAATTCATTGAACTGCAGTTTCTATAGATTGATTGATGCTCCTTTTTTATCCAAATATCTTTACTTTAATATTTTTTCCTTATTTCTGTCTTGTCTTGTTTTTTTTCCTTTTTTTTTATTTTTTATTTTTCACATGATGCGTGGGAAGGCAGAGGTTAGCAAAAACTTGACTTCTGCCTTCTGTATATTTTTTCTTTTTTATTATTATATATATATATATATTTTTTTTTTTTGGGGGGGGGGGGGAGCATTTGTTCTAATGTAAATGGGGCAGAAGAAAAAAAGATCAAAAGAGACAACATTCAAGCAATTAGACTCCGTTTGTTTTTATTGCATTGGCAGAGATGTACAAGGTTGCAAATGAGAAGGCTGCAAATTCTAGTTCAACTTTGCTTCAATTATACTTCTCATTTACACTGCAAACATGCAAAACAAGGTAAACCATAACTTGTGCACCACTGCAAATGAAATTGGACTGCAAACAAATAAAGCAGTTTCAGAATTGAAGCCTCTCCAGTGGTAATCTCGACTTTCTAGCCCAGTGGTTGCAAGTTGTAACGGGGCAAAATGAATTGGAAATAACTTCCACAAAATTTGAACTTACAAACCTTTAGGCTGTGTTTCGTTTGAAAGAAAAAGTTAGGGAAATCTATACAAAGTTTGTACGGGTTTCTCTACCTTTCCCTACCTTTTCTTTCAAACAAAACCCAGCATTATTGAAAATATAATATTTAAACCAACTTATTTGTTTTTGTTTTTTTTTTTTTTGATATTTTCATTAATGCTGTGTTTGATTTGAAAGAAACGGTAGGGAAAGGTAGAGAAACCTGTACAAACTTGTTTGTTTGGTTGCTTGTTATTGATATCTATGGTATTTGACAGAAAGAAAAAGCTTTTCTTATTATACGTTTTTAGAAGTGGGAATGGAGAAACAAATCTCTCCACTCCATCAACTCAATTTGAAACTCATTTACAGTCAATATTCTTTTATGACAGTTTCAAGCAAATTACCAGTATGGGATAGTGAAGAACATAAAAAAGTGAGGGAAATCTTACAAATAATACTAGGAAGCAATGCTTACTATGAATCCCTTAATCCAGATACAAGAGACTATACCATTGGTATTTCGTACTGAAGTCTGAAGGCTAAATTGACTATTTATGTTGTTTCAGCTAATGAGGAAGCTGATTGCCTTGCAAAAGGAATTCATATAAGAGGTTGAAATTGTTACTTTTACCTCCAAACTAAAAGCTAAAAGATATTTTTTCCTATTATTACTATTTTTGAATAAAATCTCTTGCATGTTGTCATTAAAGGACGGGATGTGTATATTCCTTGTTTTTCTTCAAGGATGTGGCCAAATCACTCCCCTAGGAAGAAAAGAACATGAAATCTTCATTAAAGGCATGCAAAATTTACAAAACCAATTTATTCAGCTTATCAAATATACCAGTCTCAGTGTAGACATTAAAATTTGAGTCACATGATCAAGAATAGTAAACCAAGTATATCTTCTTAACTATATACTTGGTAGAAATGGAGATGTTAAGAACCACATGATGGAGCTACATGAAAAATTTGCAGGTCATTCTACAAAATCATTTGACATGCAAACCGAGCCTGTAGCCCTTGCCTATTTGATCAGAGACCAAGGCCTTAACGATCTGTAAACGAGGCATTCATAAGGTTGAAAGCTGAATCCATAAACTGTAGAAAGAAGAGTCATATCAACCCTTGAACTTGATCAAACTTCTTACATAAACCCATGAAGATGATATGAAACTAGTGTCTCAATAGTGTTTTTTTTTTTCTTTATAACAGAAGAGGTCAATGTATTCAGATGCAGCTTCCCCTAAAACTAGAATCAGATTCAAACATACATTGAAAAACTGAAATTATGAATTACAGATGAAGCAAAATAGATGTTTTCTTAACCATTCTATCCCTGCTACGTTGCTTGTTTGTTCAGTGAATTTCCACAACGTTTTAGAGGAAAAAGTAGTAAAACAAATACTTTTAATGGATATATAATAAATAACAAGGGAAGAATCCTATAAATTAGAAAGAACCCCACTTTCCAAGTACTTCCATATCAGTAAGAGCTAAAAACAAATATAACCATGTAAATCATCCTTGAAGCAAGTTCCAATGTACAATGATGATGTGCTGATTAAAATGAAGATCTCAATAAAGTACAGAATAAATGCACCGTCAGTACAAGGATTGTAAGGTGATTGTCTCATATACAGTGCACACAGATTTTAATAATTAAACAGATCTATCCAATCATCCAACTAACAACCCAAGCTACTCTGTTTGAATATGTTTCAAGAAAATTATCATCAAATTTACAGAGGAAAGCCAATAATGAGATTTCTATTTTTGAGTTTTAAACTGTTTGTCACAAAATATGGTTTGCAAAGTTTTTGTTTAACTGACATTAAACTTCAATTTCAAGGATTGAAATAAGTCAGTCTTATACTAGGCATGAGTTACTAAGGGATGTTATTAAACAGTGTGAGCTTGTCTTACACTGTCGATCCCAAGCCCGGATAAAGGAGGAGTGTAATAATAAGAGTGTAAATCAGGGTACACTTAATATTGGAGACTAAGAGATAACTCAATGTGACCATTTCCAGTACCTTGGTTCAATAATTCATAACAAGGGAGAGATTGAAGAGGACATCACCCGAAGAATTAGAGCAAGTTGGGCAAAATGGAGGGGTACATCTGGATTTTTGTGTGATAGGTGATTACCGCTTTGATTAAAAGGAAAATTCCATAAGACAGTAAGGCCAGCTATGTTGTATGGAGAAGAGTGTTGGGCAGTCAAGAAACATGTCCAAAAAGTGTGTGGCGAAAATGTGAAAGCTAAGATGGATGAGTGGAAAGCTAGAAAGAATAGGGTCAGGAATGAAGTCATCCGTAGGAATCTGGGAGTAGCTCCAATAGGTGATAAAATGAGAGAGAGTAGACTGAGATGGTTTGGTCACGTGCATGGAAGATCACTAATATCTCCAGTTAGAAGAAGTGATTTGTGACAGGTGGAAGGGGCTAGAACAGCTAGGGGTAGATAAAAAAAAAAAAAAAAAAAAAAAACATGTAGGAGTAGTAAGAAATTATTGAAGCTCTAATCATTTAACAGTGGATAATTGGAAAAACAGGATTTATGTAGTCAACCCCATATAATTGGGATAAGGCATGGATGATGATGATGGTACACTCCTGACATTGTCTTGTATTCCTATAGAAAAGCATATGATGATATGAGAGACAGAAGTTCTTGAAGTTGTTTTGCTAGTCTTCCTCATCCAGAACACAGTTTCTTAAAGATTGCATCTAATGTGCACATATGAAGTGTAATGCTTATTGTATTTGCTTTATCCATGCTGATTCATGTACTGTCATTACAGAACACAAACCTCAAAACACAAACAATAAACTCAGGATATTACCTTTCCAATAGTCCTAAGTTCCCGTTCAACAGGTTCCATAAATTTCATGTTGACATTAATAGGCCAGACCTGTGAAGGAAAAAAGGAAAATGTGAGATTCTTCATAGAGAGAAGATTGGGCTTAATAATAATAATAATTCTAGAAATAACTATGATAAACATGATGCACTCTAGAAAAGGATGGCCAAATAAGACAAGGTCTTCACTTGTATAGTTATGTATATCCTACAGTCGCATTCCTGTATTTCTGAATTCTAATAAATAATGCAGCATAACCTCAAATCATTGGAGTGTCAGGTTTATCTTTCTTCTTGTCAAACTATCATAAAATAGTTTTCTCTTACTTTTCAATCGAATGCTGAAGTGTAGTTATCAAGGTGAGACTATGTGATAATGTGTCTTTTCAGGATAGCCTTGTGCCTCACCTTATTGTTTTTTATATGAGAAATCTACAAATTTTGGGTGTAGCACAGCTGAACCATATTATATTGTAAGTATGGGTAGTGTAAAAGGTATAATAAAAGATCAGTTTTCAGTTTAGAGAGCCATAACGTGGGCTTACAGTGTAAACATATCAGTGAGAAAGTAAATATGTTCATTGAGTAGAGCTTCAACTGGTAGCTGTCATCATGTATTCTTTGTAAGGGCCTCTTCTTCTATTTCTCTCTCAATATCCATGAGCAAAACAAGGCATCATCTCCACCTATGGTAAATTCTTCATTTGTTCTTTTCTTTAAAAAAGTCTCTGTATTCACTCTTATTTGTCTTTCTAACTGTGATTGGAACAAGGGTTTGTTGGGCCATTCATTTTCCTTTTCTTTGCAATTAACACAAGCACGCCCATCCTCTCTCTCCTTTATATCTCTGTCACACTCAACATAACAAAGACTCCTTCCATTCATGTGTTTGTGTTTCCTATCTTTGGTTTAACAGATAAGACATACATTCTCTCTATATCTTGCTATTGCATTAACAGAAATATGAACCCATTCCCTTTCTAATATGCCATATAATGTAGTTTCAATTCTACTTTTAATGTTTTCTAATTGCTACAATACCAACTAGGCAAACAAGTTAGTTCAAGAAAAATAAGGAAAAAGGTAAACTTAACCATAATTTTTATATAGAAAAATAGAAAGCATTGCCTAGGTAACACGGTGAACTCCTTTCACTGGTCTCTACTTAGCATCATTATCTTTATTCATCCTTAATTGATTACATTTATTGTTTTAACGACCACAAAAGTCCAAAAGATTGCTTGCATAATGGAAATCCTTCTTCAATACAAACCGTTTAATCCAGAGCCAAAAGGAATTTGTTTATCAATTTGAGCTTAAGTTGGATACTAATAACTTAAGTTCTACAAAAGAAAAATAACAACTGCAATAATAGGTGAACCAAACAAGTATTCGTAGGTTGTGTAAGAGAGAGAATCAGAGAACCTTCAGACTCAGTAAGCGAATGGGCGTAATCTGACCGGGGACAATGCATTCAGGTCCAGCCGCTTCCATTTTGGCTTCCAATGCGAATCCTCCTCCTATTGGATCAGGGTGCTGCACTCAAAATTTTTAATCCCCACAAAGAGAAAAACAGAGAACATGATTAAAACCCAAAAACAAAGTTGGGAAAACGTTAGATAAGAGAAACGCAAACCAGGGCACATGCATAGTGGAAACAGAGGAAGGTGGAATGTAAGACAGAAACCTTCATGACAGCAAGGGCGTAATTGGAGGTGGAGTTTTGGGGTAGACGTAGAATGGGAGAGTGGTGTATCTTGGGGACTGGCTTCCCAGTTGGGGACGCCCTCCACGGAACGTCCTTCTGCAGTGCCGCTGCTGCCATTTTTCCGCCGACGCTGCTGCTGGTCATTCTTCTTTTCTGCTCCTTCTTCCTTGCCTTTTGATTCCTCTCTTTCTCCAATTGCCTAACAACCAACGAGAAATATAAGTAAAGCAATGATCAAATTATTTGCCTTATCTTTTCAAATGCAACAATTACTTCAATACACAAAACAGAATAGTATTCACGACGATTCTTTCACTATGATAATAGGCATAGCTAAAAGGGTGAGAATTGAGAAAGCGAGAAATGTATGGTAAGAACCAAGAACGCTTGTTAGTGCCCGTAGACTGCAAATAAGCAGCTGAGATAGAAACAGCATATTCAATTATCCATTTTCCACGGAGAAAGAGACAAGGCACAGAATCTCGCGGGTTCGATGAGTAATCACGAAATCCATTACCTGAGCCGGATTGGCTCCCCACCCGCGCTCAGCATGCATTGACATCGTATGGAGTGCGGCTTCAGTCAGAGAAAAGCCCGTTCCAACGGCCTTCACATCCTTTAATGGGAGATATCCCCAATGCAAGATTGCAAGGGGCGTTTATTGACAGGCCGTTTATTTTTACTTTATTTATTTTTTTCAAACATTTATTTAAACGTTTCTGTTTTTGTTGTTTGGTTGGGGTTCACTTTAAATGTTTTTTTATTTTTTACTTCAGGTTAATACCCATTAAGGTGTGTCATATCAGTATTTGGTCTCAAGAAACGTTGGGGCATTAGGGGAAACAAGAATTTGACATTTCTCTAAATGTCTCATACACAAAAATTTAAGTGTTAAAGTGTTTTACTGTTTATTTGATAAACGATGAAATCAAACAGTTGTTTCATTTTGCTTCATCTACAATAAACGCCAATGCCTATTAGGCGTTAATATGACGACATCTTTTCAAATAAATGCCTACATAATGTGGGATGCACTCAGTGGGGAGCCCATGTGATCACCCAATATCTCGTTCCATGGCTCCATGCTATCGTATAACATCAGACGTCGGAGGGCTCCCATAGGTCATAGGGCGGAAATCGGATGAGCCTAAGACAAATTCATGCACAATGAACTGGGCTACTTATGACAATTGAACACACAAGGATTCAATCCTCACAAAATTGTGCTCACACCATTTCCAATGCACTGCACCATTGAAAAAGACTGAAAAGGCGTGAGTACAATTTTGTAAGCACCAAATCTAATCCCTTAAGGCTGCGTTTGGTTGCAATGCAAACGCAAACATGTATACAATAGACTACATATTTATCTTCTTTTCAGTTCATGAATGCAAATACAGTTCAGATTTTAAACCATTTTTGCACTTATATTGTTTGTTTGAAATTAGTGCTAAGTGTGGGTCCCATCATTAAATTCTCCAACTACCTTGTTCTTCAATGCCTTAACTTTGGTTAAAAAGTTGATTATCAAAGGAATACAAAGTTGTATAAAAAAATAGGTACATTAATGCTCTCTTTTTAGAATACAAAAATGTCAGAAAATACATTTTTGATCTAATAATCATTGCTTTTTTATATGTCAAACAAATGCTCACGAACGCAAAACACAGTACATAAATACTCCAGTTCGACATTTGTATTTCAAACAAATAGAATCTAACATATCAGTATTCATTGTGGATCCTATATGCTAAATAGTGAATACTGATAACCCAACCTGGTGTGTGCATGATTTTATCTCCAACCAATATGCTCCCCGCAAGACATGCTCCACAAGGAGCACAACACATCCTTTGTGCATTGTGAAGTACTTGTCACAGGGAGATATTTCCAATGAACGAAGAGGCCAGGGAGATGTTCTGTGGGGTGTCCCTCCGAATTCCCCTACCTGCAGCAGAAAAGGTTGGATTTCTAGAATCCAAACCTTCTTGACATATAAAAATGGAAAACCCTCCCCGCATTTTAGGATAAAAAGAATTTATTAGATTCAGAATCCATAAGTTATTCACTATTATATATAACCAATAAATAAGAATATACATTAAAATTTCGAATTATTTGATTAAAAAGATGTAGAAAATAAATAAGTTATCAATTATCTTTCACATAACGGTACTGATAATTTAAATATATCCCAAGGCTCTATTTGTCTCTAATGCAAATTTCATTTATACTAGTGTAAGTGCATGAAATATAAACCGAGTAATGTAAATTCTGATTCAGTTTCACGCTTCACTTGGCTTATATGGTTGGGGATTGATGAGTTGAGAGTAGTCTGAGGAAAGTAGTGCCACAGAGAACTAAAAAGAATATAATTTTGATACTTCCATTTGGAGAAAAATTTAGTGGAAATCTTCACAAGCATTCATAATCCTCCAGCACATTATCCACATATTTTGATACAATTTTAAATTACACTAACTCCCACTTTCTTGATATTCCAAAGCGAGACCCCCAAAAAGAGAATAAAAATTAAAAACCCGACTAGAATGGAATGAGGTGAACATTATCCGTCCATCAATCACCTACTAGATGGATGGGGATTCAGTTCACCCTACTAAAGTTAATCAGCTAACCAAAACCATATCCTCTCCCCCAGACTTTGCTGCAACAGCTTCTAGTCTCTTCCATAACAATTCTCGCTGCTCTTCCAAGCCTTTGGCATTTGCCGATTTCTCAATGTACTGCCTCTCGCATTGTTCAAACAGCTCGTTGTCCATCTCCAGAAACATCTTCTTCACGTTTGCTGTAAGCCCATGGACTGCCGGGTTCCAATGGCTCTCCATGTTCTTCTCTAGCGCCTCAAAGATAATTGGGAATATCGCACTCCGGTTCTGGGCAATCAAGCTCACAATGTGCTCATTGTTCCACAAGAAGAGGGCTCTTTCTGCCACCTGTTGTGCGAACTTTTATTTTATCAAACACTCTTAAAGCATAGTTGGTACTGGTATGTACACATAAGTACGAGGAATACCCTAAGAAATAAGGAAAAGGAACAAAAAGAAACTCGCAGACTGACATTTAAGTTTTCTGCAAATTTGCAACCATTACATCTGATAATCAGTAAAACAATATGAGATGGGAAACTGAACTCGTAGAAAAATGTTGTGCCACAAGCTTTCAACACTAAATGATCAAAAAGGATTAGAGGAACTTCAAGTTAATGTCCAAAAAAAGAGGAATACCAGAAGGCAACCATTGCAGCAATGGCCTACCAAATTCTTGCTTAGTCTACTTTGTACATTCAGTCAATTGCAATGACAAAAAAAAAGGAACAGAAGTGGCTTTTGTCTATACTGGAGACATAGTTTTAACCGTTTCTTGGCCAAATAATACAAGCACTAAAACAAAAGAAACCTCATTTTCCTCAAACACTCACTGTTCATAGTTTATTAATATAAAGTCCGTAATTAAATGGTAAACATTTACCACACACTGGTGCTGGTTTTGAATCTTCGGTTGGTGTTAATTTTATTCTACCAGTAAAATGTAATAACCACAAAAAACAAGGAACAGAACAGACATAAAAGTAACACTCAAAAGTCAGTACCTAGTTAACAAAACAGACGGACACAACAGTAATAATCAAACTCAGTACCTAGTTAACAAAAACTGCAAATGGATAACCAATAACATCGACAAAAACTCATGAATTCCCTTTTTTTTGGTGAAGACAAAACTCATACCCATTCATCTTAACTACATGTCTAGGGGGTAGGGGCAAACATCCTTGTCACATATTGGGGGCGGCTTCCAGGTTCCTACATATATGTATTTAGTTCTAACCTTCCAATTCCTGGTGTTACCACTAGTTTCTCAGGCTGTCATCGATTAGGAATGCAACACCAACTATTTGAAACAAGGCTTTGGAGTATGACAGCCTCAAAATCTACTCATCCATCTCAATATACACATCCTGGCCGTGATCATTCCATGGATTTTTCTTCAAATTTAACCATTTGCTCAATCTATGCATGTATAGTATTTTAATTGCAGAACATCCTGTTTGACAATACATTCTGATCTTATAGCCATTTATAAAAATTTTCCAACAGTTTTTCTGCCACTTCAACACTCCAAAAGTACATCTTCATTATATACACCCACCCTGTACAAGAAATATTTATTTCAATTTCCCACTCATTATGGATGATTTTAACAAATGGGGGCTTTCTCTTCTCTATCAATCTTGAATTTTGCCTTGTTTTTTTTTGATAAATGATTTTTTTTGCCTTGTTTTCATACAGATTTTTTTTGAAAAGCAAAGATTGGATCCCCTTCACAGAGGATGGTTTGCCTATTTATAGAAGCGAGGGAAAGGGTTACATTGCATGAAGCAAGAATTCTGGAATATTCTCCAGCTCAAGCAATGTCTGGAAACAAATCCTATCTATTAATCCCCATAGGACGTGTGTTCTTGAGGATCACAAGGTCATTAGAGCCTTAGAGCACAATCTCAGGCTTTCTCTAAGGGTGACATGTGTCAGTACAACACTCAGGTACAACTAGTCGTGGTTTCCCTAGGGCACTAATCATGTGTCTCACACCCTCAGAACTACCTTTGCACTTTGTACTCCTGATATAGTCTCACGAGTTTTGATCAGGCTTGCCTCATGAGGCTTGGTTTGCAAGGTCGGATTAGTCTTGCCTCATGAGGTCAAATTAATCTTGCCTTGTGAGGTTCCTCATGGGACTTGACTCGCAAGGTTAAATTAATTTAGCCACACAAGGTTTGATTACTATTGCGAGTTCCCATGAATCTCTCTTTGGCCTCACAAGGGCGTATCGCTCTACTTAATGTGCCGTGAGGCATCAGTTTTGCCACTTATCATAAGTCTCATTGTACATATTAGTGGGGTTTTACCTCTTTGCCCTTGAATATATATCCACTATCCCACACTTGTCAAGTAAAAAATAAAGACTCAGAGTGTCATTATTAATAGAGGAGAAATGTCTAAACTATCCTGCCACCTATAACCATGTAACTAGCATAATTTTTACATGTCTCTCAACACTCCCCCTCAAGCTAGTGTATATATGTCATATAGACCCAGAGCTAATAATGAAATTAATATGGAGTCAATGTAATGCCTTAACAAACAAATCTACCAGCTAATCATCCATCTTCACAAGTAGTGTATTTATATCATAGTTTTGAATATTTTCTCAAACAAAAATTAATCAACTTTGATGTGTTTTGTTCTCTCAAGAAACATAGGATTTGATGCAATATGCATAGAGGCCTAATTGTCACTATAATATATATATATATATATATATATATATGTCGAGGTTATAAATATCGATATATTGGTGCTTTTTTTATGTTTTATTTATTTTTCTTTTTAAAACTGGTTCAGAGGGGTCGATTTAAGTCCCGGCTACCCTCTGAACCATGGCCTGACCCAATACACCCCCTAGGGGCGTATCAGGAAAGCTCTGATACGGGCCAATACGTAACGATATTTTGAACCTTGATATCTATATATATATAGATAGATAGATAGATAGATAGATAGATAGATAGATAGATAGATAGATCAGTAACAACAAATTTTATTAAGCCTATGAAACTTTAATTACAAGAGAGGGGGGAAGGTAAACTGTCTTAACTCCCCCACCAGCAAAATACCAAGGATACAAGATTAGAAATGAGCCCAAAATAAAGAACCCCTATTCACCCCTTGCTTGGCTAATCCATCAGCGAGTGAGTTAGCAGTTCTCTTTACTCAACTGTGTTTCACTTTCACATCAATGTCCCTAGTCACCGACTTAATTTTTTTCCTTTCATTGCTGTAATTCAATATACCATTGTTGTCTTCCTTTAGCCATCTCACCACCACCTTTGAGTCACCTTCAATAACCAAACTTCTGATGTTCAACTCCCTTGCTCTTTGGGCACCTTCCAGAGCTGCAAGGATCTCAGCCCTAAGAGAGCCTCCTTCCCCAATAGGGCCAGAACATGGCTAGAATAAGCCCTTTCTCATTCCTGAACACTCCCCCTATACCAGATAGTCCTAGGTTCCTTAAGCGGAGAGGTCCAAGAGGGACTAGGAACCCTTTTAACCTAGGTATAGTTAGCTATTTCTTTCCAATTTCTCATCAACTCATCCATGGAGAAATCTGTGAATAGGTTCAGGGATTTAAGCCAATGGTTCTCTTTTCATTGGCCAGCTAAAATAAGAAGGAGAAGGGGAGAATAGACTTTGCATATTGGGGGGGGGGGGGTCCAAGTACACCCAAAAAGGGAAAATACCCATTCCCAAATAGTTCTAGCAAACAAGCAAGAAACCAATAGGTGTCTTGATAGTATGGCCGGCCAGAAATAAGAGGAAGAGAAGAGGAGAAGAAGAGAAGAGAAGAGAGGGAAGAAAGAAGGGTTTTGCAATGTAACAGTGCTGGCGGCGCCAGCCTTTATTTTAATATATATAGGGCGGCAGAAATAACAAGGGAAAAGACCCTTGTGCCCCTGAGTACAATAACAGACATAACAGAAAGAAAAAACGAAATAAAA